GTTCTTAATGTGGTGTCAGGAGCACTGGACCATACTGGCAGCTCAATATTTTTGCACTAATCAATGAATACATATTCTCAATTTCTGGACTGTGGGCTGTGTTGCCGGATTTCCTTATATTCCAGTTGCTAGGGATGGAATTGTATTCCTCTCCCTTCTCCTCTGGCAAATTCATATGTTGAAGCCTTAGCTCCCAATGCAGTGGTATTTGGAGATGGGACCCTTGTGAGTTAATCAGGGCCAGATGAGGTGATGAGGGTGGCGTCCTTATGAGATTAGGGTCCTTCTAAGAAGAGACATCAGAGAGCTTGCGTGTGCTCTCTCTCTCCCCTGCCCCGACCCCCACCCCCACCACTATGTGAGGACACAATGAGAAGGCAGCTGTCTACAAACAAGAAAGAGAGGTCTCATCAAAAATTGACCATGCTGGCACCTTGACCTTGGATGTCTAGCCTCTAGAACTGTGAGAAAATAAATTTCTGTTGTTTGAGTCACCCAGTCTAGGGTGTTTTGTGATGGCAGCCCCAGCTAACTAAGACATCTCTGTATCCCAGTATTTTATTTTAACTCTCCATATTTTAAAATAATAGTGACTGATGGAACTGAAATACAAAACTAGAAATAACATGCAGGCCCAATGAAACATGCTTCCAAGCAGTTAAGTGCATTCTCTGCCCTGTGGTTGTCGGTGTGCTGGGCTAGCCTCCCACTTCTGGCTTTGAGCTCCTTGAGGGTGGAGACCCTGTCTTGCTCCCCTCTGTATTCCAAGCACCTAGCCAGTACCAAGCACAACCTCCAGGTTGGCCGGGCTTCCTGGAGGCTGGGGATGAGGAAGCAGCTCAGGGAGCCTTGGGCAAGCACGTCCTTTCCCAGGGTGGAGGCAGCTGGGCTGATTCACAGGGCGGCGCCCCTGCTGTCAGCACCCGTCTGGTCTCACCTGAGTTCATCTCGGCGCTGTGCACTGTGCCCAGAGCGGCTCAGAGCCTCAGAACCTCCGAGCCTCAGAACCTCCGAGCCTCAGAGCCCTGCCCTCCTCCTCCTCTCCCCCTTTGCTGGGGCTCCTGGCCTTTCCCTTTCTCTCTGGAAAGCCGGGCCCGGTGCGCCTTTCCCGGGGAGGGAGCGCCCTCTAGTGGACGGAGAGTGAGGCCGCAGGAGGCGGCAGCTGGAGAAGGAGGGCGGGGCCGGAGGCCGAGACTGAAAGGGAGGCACCGCCAGCCAATGAGGGGTGAGCCTCCTGCAGCCTGACCCGTGGGGCTGGGACCGCAGGGACCCACAGGTATTTCCGAGTGTGCGTGTGAGTGCGTTTCTTCTTGAGAAGCCCTCTCCCAGCGGAGGGACTGGACTCTGTCAGGGCAAAAGGTTAACATGGTGCAGAAAGGTCCCCTGATCTCCCCTCTTGAATTCTTCCTCCGAGCAAGAAAACGTTCTCTATCCTAAATTCTTCTAAGTGGGTTTGGTTCTATCACTCCTGGATCTTTCTTGCCAAGGCTGTGGGTCCCAGGCTTACCTCTACCAAATTTCTCCCCTTTCTGTCTAACCTGGAAGCCCCATCCAGTATGTCTCACTTGTCTCCTGTTGTAGAAGTTCGTTTTCATTTCAAGTCTAGAGATTGCACAGCAAGCGGTGTGAGCCGTTGTGGCTGCAGCCCGTCCTGCCAGCTCAGTGTCTGCAGTTGGAGGTCGGGGTAGGAGACACCACTGGCTCCTGCTCTGGCACGGTCAGGGGCTGGGCACAAGCCTGGTAACTCCAGCTGTATGATGTGACAAGCTCGGGACAGTGTTCATCACATTCACATTCATGTTTGGGACACACCATGATCAAGCAACCAGGGTCTCCACCTCCTGTTGTTCAGAATTGATTTCTGGTTTCTACGTACCTCTGCCAGAGGCCAGCTCCTTTCCTGGGAGGCCAGCCTACAGAGCTTCCATCTTGGGCAAGTTAATCCCGGCCTCTCGTTTGGCCAGCGAGGGAGGCTGAACACTTTTCCGTGTGTTCCTTAGGTGCCTGCCCTCCTCTGGGATGGGCTCATTTGTTGTCAGTACACAGTTTTCCTGAATGAATGGATTCCTGGGTGTTATTCGCCAAGAGATTGCTGACTGGGATACAGGGAACTCCTATATGTTTGTCTAAAACCGAGAGTCTAAACATTTTCCAACTGGGAACTACTGATTATAAAAACTCTGGAGGGCAATGATCTACCCCCATTTTATCTCAAACCTCCCTCTGTAATTTCTCTGTAAAATAATTGGGAGAAAAGTTGATGTTTTTGTCTACATCTCCAAGAGCTGATATTTCATTTGGATTGAGCACAAGTAAGCAATTCATTTCTGCCTGGGAGAGCAGAAGATTCCTGCAGCTGGAAAGGATCCTAACGATCCTGGAGTTTCACCTCTTGGGGCCTCATTGAGAATCTCCGCAGATTGTGGAGAAGTTCCAGGTGGAAATTTCTGGGTATGCATCCTGATCCGCCCCTTCTGGTTGGGTAACTCTGGGCGAGTGACTTCAACTCTCCGAAGTCCCATTTCCTGATGTTGAGTCCAGGTCTCGTGGGTCATTGTGAGGATACTTAATTAAGTAACTGTGAAGCCCTCAGCGAATACTTGGAATGGAGGATGTGATCCGTAAGTGGTAGCTGCTGTTATTATTACTGTTCTCACTCAAGGAGAAGTTCGGTGAGCATCTGTCAGGGGCCTTTCAGGATGGAGGACCGAACTGGAGGCGGTGCTGCCTCTGAGTAGTTCACTGCTTTTGAGCCTCAGTGTTCGCACCTGAAATAAAAAGTAGGGATAAGAATGTCTTACAGGAATTTTGTAAGGATGAAATATAGAATTGCAGCACTGGGTGTAAAAACACCTGCACAGGTTTGTTCATAACAGCTACTAAAGGACTTTAGAAATTGTTATTATCTGTGCTGGAAGGTCTAGGATGAGGCCCTGGGCTCCCAGGAGGGACCAGGAGTTCCCAGGGTGATAGGAGGCTGGCGAGGGTGGTGGCTAGATAAGGGTGTTAGCACCCTCACCTTTGCTGAGTACGTGCTGGGGACCCTGAGAAGCCTCGCCGGGTGCTGGTCCCCAGTTTGGTGAAGAGGCAGATGGGGCCCATGCAGTGGGGTGAGGGCCCCGTCTGAAGAGCAAGCATGGTCGGGTTAACTGTTGGTATCTCTCACAGGGCTGTGGCCCACACTCCCTGTTGGTGTCCTGGGTCCAGTGAGGATGTTGCGGTGGTTTCTCATCTTCTCTGTGCTGGATTTCGGGGCCTGGGGTGAGTTTTCTTTCGCGAGGTCAGAAGTGCTTTTGGAATCTGCTTCAGCCGGTTTCATTTGTTAATCATCCTCTCCGGGTGCTCATGCTGCCCCACCAGCTGTGTTCCCCTTCAGAGCGTGGCTCAGGTGCCCCCTCCCCTGCTAAGATGGGCTCCAGTCCTCAGCAGCCTCCCCAGCCCGCCCAGCGCACCTTGACCTCAGTGTCGTGGGCATGGATTCACTCCTGATCATTCTGCAGGAGGGAAGAGTCTCAGAACCATGGGAGAGACCCTTAACCACCTCCCTGTTTTAGAGAAACAGGCCACATTGCGGCAGTGACTTGCCCAAGGGCATCTGACCACCTTGGGGGCGGCTGCAGAATGTCATGGTTATGAACACGGCTCTGGGGGCAGACAGCCTGCATTGGAATCCAAGTCTGTAGCTTCAAACCACATTGTCTTAGACGAGTAACTTAACCTTTCTGAGCCTCAGTTTCTCATTTGTGTAGAAGGAGTGGTTGTCTTGCTTGGCTTATCTCATAAAGTTGTTTCAAGCCACAGATCTGAGGGGGCCCTTGAAGATGTTTTGTAAATTACAGAGCTGGCCTGTGGGAGGCGATGTTGGTGACATTGAGAGTTCTAGTGGCTCTGGCTCCCGTGACCTCTGGTACTGAATAGGCAGAGGGGGATAAGCCACGCTGGTGATGATTCATCTTCAGTTAATACTATCTAAAAGGGAGGGCAGGCACCACGATCTGCAATTTTCTGTATTTCAAGAACCTTGTCTGGACCAATAGGTGCTTAATATATGTGTGCATGTTAACATGACGGTGAGCACCTTGGTACCTGACAGTCTGATCTATTAATAAGGCTGAGGTGAACTGGGAAAGGCAGAGCCGCTCAGGTGAGGAGGCAGGAGGGAGTGCGTTGAGCCTGAAATGGGGTAGGGAGGGAGGCTTGGCGAGGGTGGGAAGGGGGAAGGCCTCCCTGGGGCTGATGTGAGAGTCAGAGACAGGCTGAGGCCAGACACATCCGTGGTTCTCCTCTGCGCTGTTCCCCACGGAAGTCAGGTGACTTGGGGGAGCCAAGAGGCCTTGGACTGTAGGGTGGGGATGTTGAGGCACGCTTCTGAGCTGGTCCGGGCGCTGCCCGAGGCCCCACACTGAGTGCAGTGTTCCTCCGCAGGGAGGTCCCCACGGTTGTCCTGGAATGAAACCCAAGCCAGAGGGCTGTCAGAGGGCCTTCGGGACCTGGTTGTTGGCATCTCACAGCCCATTCGCAAGAGTCGCAATGGTGAGGTGGTTTGGGGGTCGCCTGGGGCTTCTTAGCGGGCCAGACGTGTTTCCCAGGACGTCATTATGGTTGGGCTGGGTGGGTGGGGTGGAACCCCAGGAGGGGCATCTGCCAGCTACTCCCACGGGCTGTCCTGAGTCCTTAGGCGAAGGTGGGTTCCAGGAAGGAGCGGAAACCCCAGGAGAAAAGACAAGGGCCCCCGTCCTTGGCTCTCAGTAGTGGGGTGCAGACACTGCATTCCTCAGACAGCTCCCGGGAGCCCCCAGGTGAGGACAGTGAGGGAACCCTCGGGGGTGCTGGTCCTGGGTGGGGCTCTCAGCCCTGCCCACGGTGACACCTCATCTGAAAGAGGGAGACCCGATGTTCATGGGACTTCCTGTGGGCTCTGGTCAGGGAGCCCCGGGTTTGAGGAGGGCAGAAGAGCTTTCTCAGAGTCGTGTTCTCAAGGGACGGCTGATGGAAGACAGTCAGACACAGGGGCAAATGCCAGTGAGGACCATGCATCCCAAGGCATCCATGCTGAGATGCTCCTCCTGGAGAAGTCAGTTCAGAGCCCTGGGGTTGGGCGTGGGGTGTTGCTGGGGCTGCTTTCTGAAGGTGGGCGCATGAAGCAGGCCAGAGAGGAGGTAAGGATGGGAAATGCGCTCCAGGAGAGTCCAAGGAGGAAGTGTTTGGAGAACAAGGCAACTTGGTTTCCTAGGCTGAATTCAGGGTCTGCAAGGGGATTTGTTTTAGCCCAAGTGGGATGGGGAGATGCGGAGCGGAGGCTGTGGTGGTGAAGGCCTCCTCCCAGGGCCTCTCCCACCGCAGAGGACTCAGGGCGGCGTGGACAGCCTGTGGAGGGAGTGCCACCCCGCCGTCCTCCCCCCACCACTGCAGGTGCGCCCACCATTGTCTCCCGTGAGGAGTGGGGGGCGAGATCCCTGACCTGCAAGGCGCGGCTGACCCTGCCTGTGGCCTACGTCATCACGGACCAGCTGGCAGGGATGGAGTGCCAGGAGCCGAACTCATGCGGCCAGAAGCTGCGGGGCCTTCAGTCCCACTCCGTCTACACCAAAGGCTGGTGTGATGTGGCTTACAAGTAAGAGGCTGGTGGGGACCCCGCAGCCCACATCCATATTACCCCTCGGAGGGGGCCTCTCACTTCCCATCCTCTGTTTTTCTTAATTTCCCACCCATTTTGCTTTTCTAATGAAGAAAAAAATGTTAATACAAACACAATCCAAAAGCCCCCAGGGGTCAAGAGGAGGGTGGCTCGGAGCCATTTATTCAGATGTGGTTGGGGCTGCTGGGGGCTCCCGGAGCTGGAAGAACAATGCAGTTTACAAAGGTCTTTTCAAGCATTACTCAAGAGGCTTCCCCAGCCATTCTGACGAATGGGTAGGAGAAATACTGCCACTCGTTTCCCAGGTGAGAACGAGGAAGTTAATGCGCAAAGTCACACAGCGATAGGCCTGGGCCCAGAGCTGTTCCCAGACTGCCTGCTGGTCCTGCCCTGTCCCACCGCCCACACGGACAGGGCTTTTACCCTGAGCGGGGTCCCCACCGGGTACCCTGAAGGGCCGTCGCACAGTGAGACTGGGCTCCCGCACGAGAAGTCCCACTGGGGATGCGGGGGGAGGGCCCGGGTTAAAGCAAGTGTGAGGCAGGGAGGTGCTTCTGCTGTGTTTTGAGTGCCCACTCTGAGGGTTATCAGTGAAGTGGAGGCCTGGCACCTCCCCTTTTCCCTCTGTAGATGAGGATACATATGCATTTGTAGAAGAGAAAGAGAGAGTGGGACTGGTTCTTCCCCCTGAATTCTAAAGACAAACATAAATGCTTTCTTTTTTAAAGTTTTTTTGGAGGGGAGGGGAAGGGAGGTAATTAGATTTGTTTGTTTATTTATTTTTAGAGGAGGGACTGGGGATTGAACCCAGGACTTCCTGCATGCTAAGCATGTGCTCTACCACTTGAGCTACACCCTTGCCCCAGGAACACTTTCTGAATTATCCACTTTGGAAGGGATAACTTGTGTCTTCTTATTTATTTATTTTTAGCTGCAAATAAGAGTCCCTGGGGACTAGGGTAGGGGCGTCTTCCCGCCCATCCTCTGTGGATGCTGTGTTCACTACAACTCAGCTGCTGTCCCCACCACTAGTGCCCCCCACCCCCGCCATTGTCACTGCTGTGTAGCCGACTTCAGCCACGGCATCTTGAAGTCAGGTTTCTGCAGCGGCAGTTTGACGCTGTCCGGTTTGCACCGTGCAGCTGCTGCAGCCGTAGGGACTAGTCACGTAGGACTGACCAAGGGCTGCAGGGGGACAGAGCAGCCTGTTGAAAGCCGGGGACACGGGGGACATGCTGAGGCCCCCCCCCGGGTCCTCAGGCCGAGGTCAGCACAGGGTGGGAGGTCAGCCTGACTCCACTCAGGGTCTTTGGACACCTTGAGGGAAATGTTCTTCCTGTGCTCAGTTTGCTGTGGAAATTCATGGTCTGTTAAAAGCTGAATACGGCAAGAGTTGTGGAAACAATTTTGAACACTGACAGGAAAGTGGAGGATGAGAAAGTTATAAAGAGGGGGAAAGAAAGGAAGAGGTAGAACAAAAGAATAGATACGTTTGTTTTAAAGAATAAACTGAGAAAAGGAACATCCTAAACAAATTTCCATGATAAAGAAGAGCTTAGAAATTCCTACAGAGAAACTGAAGAAAAAAATCAACATAAAGGAGTTCCTGAATTCTGGCTGATTGTGTTCCAGGTTCAAGTACTTGGTCCTCTAATTTAATAACGTGATGAATGAATTCTCATGCCCTTGAAAACTGTTGAGCTAATGTTCTCAGGTTCTTAAGAGTCACACATTTGAAATCCACTTTGAACCAAGTGAATGTTTTTCAAGTGAGTTTCTGGGAAACGCAGGTAGGCTAAGTCACAGCAAAGTTATAGTATATTCCCTCATCTCTTGGAAGTCTACAATGCATTGTCTACCTCCCTTCCACTGTTGTGTCATTGAAGCAGAGCATTTATGAGCCTCTAGAACACTTCTCCCCACTGAGGATGGGTGAGAGGTTTCCTGTTACAGGGATTTGCCATTAAACCCGTGTTTCCTTGCCCGGCAGCTTCCTGGTTGGGAACGACGGCAGGGTGTACGAAGGTGTCGGCTGGGACGTGCAAGGCATGCACAGCCAGGGCTACAACAACATCTCCCTGGGCCTCGCCTTCTTTGGCAACGAGATAGGTAATGGACACCCCCGCCCCCACCTCCCTGGCCCCCCAGCCAGGGGCTTGTCTGCACTCTCTTCCTTCGTTCCCTAGTCTCGGCCCTCCTGTCTTTTCAGCCTCCGTCACATTGTCCTCTCTGATGACTGCCCCTCCCTGGAAGCTCTTTTCTCCCTTGGATTCTGCAGCACAGCATGCTTTCCGTCTCCTCTCTGATCTGCGCTCCTGCGAGGTTGCCGAGGCCACCACTGACACCGCTTGAGCTCACGGTGATTGCCGTCACTTCTGGAGTCTGAGGTTGGCATTGAAGCTGGGACTGGCAGAGACAGAGGAACTCGGCTTCTGTCTTCCTCCAGTGTCTCCCGTTGGTAGAACCCAAAGAGGAGGCCAGCAGGCAAGGAAGTCTGGGAAATGTAGTTCGCAGGTTTCCAGCCCCCTGCAAGACAGAGAGCTCAGAGCAGGAATGGAGTTGAGAGCTAATAGATAGATAAGTGGCACCTGCCAGGATCCTCATCTGCCAACTGGGGGCTAGTAATAGCATTTATAAACTCAGAGGTTTTCCGTGAAAATTACACGAGTTAATGGACATAAGGAGCATTTGCCACATGTCTGATTGTGGGAGCTGCTAGGTAAATGCTGTCATCTTTTTCACCATGCTAGGGCAGACCTGACTTGGTCTCTGCGTGCAGCTTTTACTGCCCTTGGGGTCTTCCACTTGGAGATGGAGTGGATAAGTAAAGTTTAGCTTGGCACTTGAAATAAGTTACCAACTTCGCTTCTAAGAGCTGTGTGCAACTCCTTTCTTGCCTCCTGGGCCTTCTGTCCTGGCTACTGGCCCAGTTTCCTCTCTTCTCATCCATCAGTTCTTTAGGCTTCAGTGGTCATCTTATCCTCCCTCCAGGTCTAGACCAGGTTGGCGTTTCTTGCTGACAGTTCTATATTCCATATCATCCTTTCTCAGGTAGCAGTCCCAGCCCTGCTGCCTTATCAGCTGCAGAGGACCTGATCTTCTATGCCATAAAGAAGGGTCACCTGTCACCCAGGTATATTCAGCCACTTCTCTTGAAAGAAGAGAGCTGCCTGGTCCCTCAACAGCCAGTGATGCCCAGGAAAGGTAAAGCCGCTCAGTCCTGCCTCACCCTCCTCCCAGTTACCACCCAGCCGTGTTAGGGGATGCTTTTTTCTAGGGGCATTCACTGGCTTCTTGGAACAAGAGCATCTCATGCTGAGATCCGGAACATTCTGAGAGGGCATCTTCCTGGCCTCCTCTCGTCTCCGTGAGAGCAAACTGGCTATGGAACCATTGACATAAAAATATATATACACACATTTTCACTCAATCAGCAAATATTTACTGAATACCAGGCACTCTTCTAGGTACTGAGGATACAGCTGTGAACAAAACTGCACACTTCAGTGGAGGAAGATAGAAAATGAAGAAATCAATGAGTAAAATATGTATGATGTCAGACGGCATGAAGGCCGTGGAGAAAAATGAAGCATGGAAAGGGGGTGGGGTAAAGATGTGGACATATTTGTGTACACTACATGAACACACACAGACATGCACATGGTCTCTGTCTTGCTCGCTCTCTCTCTCACACACATACACCACACTCCTCTTTCTAAATGCAAAAACCAGCCAACCTTCAACATGACCATAGCACTGAGGAAAACCTGAGTTCACAGATTACACTGACATGAGTGTAAATATTCCAAGAAGCTGGGTAATAACAATCAGGCACTGTTTTGGAATGAACAGGCATCAACCCCAAACCAGGAGTCACAAGCACTTCCAGCCATTCAACACTCTCTGGCAGAGTGGACCTTTTCTTGTACTCAAGGGTATTTTTCATTCAGCTTTTTAAATTTGTAAATCTCTGAATCAAGTTTTTCATGCTTTCAGACAGGTGCTATCTTCAACCATGATAGATTTTTAACATTTGTAGAGTTCTTTAGAGATTTCAAATGATCTCCACATTGATGAGATCAGCTCGCGAGCCAGCTGATGTCTGCATATTGGCCCTGTTCCGTAAGTCCACACGCCTGCATGTATTTGCAATGCATATTCAAGCACGTAGGTGTACTTTGTCTCTTGAACAAAATGGCCATCCCTCTGTACGATCAACAGTCCCTTCCCTCATGCTCACATGCTGGTTTCCATAGTTGTTATCAGACTGTAGATTTTTGCCTCTGCCCCTTAGCTCCAGCCACCTGACCCAGGCAATCCCTGTCCGACCTTCTCAGAATCCCACAGAGTCCCACATGTTATATGTGCCAGTGGGCGCCAGGGGTTGGGGAGACTGAGGAGTAACCAGCTTGCCGTTGTGAGCTGGTCTACCAGTGAGCCCAGGCGACTTCCTAGCTCCTTGGTTTTTCACCTCATCACAGATTGCCCCAACATCATCACCCGGTCCACTTGGGAAGCCAGACAGACACACTGCCCTACAATGAGCCTCCCAGCCAAATACGTGATCATCATCCACACCGCGGGGGCGACCTGCAACGTATCCATGGACTGCCAGATCCGCGTCCGGGACATACAGTCCTACCACATAGACGTGATGAACTTCTGCGACATTGGATACCAGTAAGTGGGATCGGTGGAAACTTGACCCTCCTTTTCTTCGGAGCTGTAGGAAGGGAGGCTCCGGGAGGGAGCCAGTATTCACTGAGCCCTTCCTTTGTGCCAGGTGCTTTACGTGAGACATCATAGTTTTATTTGCACATCCTTCAGGGCATAGCTGAGGGTTGGATATCTCCCCTAGGCATGTCCTCCATGAGTGTTTGGGAAGACTCTGGAAGGAAGCCATTAAAACAATAGCGATAAAGCAAGACTGTGAGACCCTTATGGAAGGCCATCGAGTGATTGTACCTTGTAAATGCAGTCCCTTCTAACCACCAAACCTGCTCTCTCTAATGTATTGTTCACTCCATTTTGTAGACACAGGAACTTTGAACCTCTCGGGACCTCTTTTGCCTCCTCTACTACAGCAGAGACGACAATACCTTATCTATTTGAAGATATAGAGTGAAATAAAAATGTTCCCTTTTGGTTCCTTTAATGTCAGGTCTATAATAAAGAAACATATTAAGCTAGTAGAACAGCAGAAGCTACTTGGAAGACGTCTTGGAATTTTCATAGCAGGGATTAGAGTATGATTAACTTTCAGTACTTCATCTGTGACGTCAGTCACAGTAGATTCTATGCAGTCTCAGATGGATTTGCTTTTGCGTATGTCTTGTTCTGGGCTGGCTGCCTTTCTCCTCTTAACTCCCATTTTAAAAGCAGCCTTTGCAAACAAGGGGAACCCATTGCTACATTTTGCAGAATTTCCCACAGTCTCGCTACGGTTATTAAGCACAGATAATAGAGAATTGACTATAAATGTGGGAACTCCAAATGGAAAATGCCAGAAGCTGAGGGAATTAGTTTTCCTCTTCCATTCAGCCTTGGGGGACTTGCTGGATTCCCATTTCTTGACTTTGGAAGCCTGCTACGTTGCCCCGCTCCCACTCCAGCCTCTGAGCACAGCATCCCTTACTCCGGTGCCCACTGTAGTCAGTGTGGACACAGAACCCACTTACTCACTATTTTCTAACCTTTTAAGCAATATTTATTGGGTGTCTTCTGTGTGCTTGGTGCTTGGCAATATGGATGTGGTTCTTTCCCTTGTGGAGTAGAGAGCAGGGATGGTAAACTAGTAATGATGATTCAGAGTGCTGGGCCCTGTGATGGATGAGGAACAGGACATGCCCAGGACGGACTCTAATAAGAATTGAGGGGACTGAATAGTGACAGGGCAGGGCTTCTGGAGGGAGAGGCATCCTAGCTCGGTTAGGGTGCGGAGGTAAGTCCGGCAAAGAAGGATGAGGAGTGTTCTGGGTAACGTACACACAGGGCCTGGAGTCTGCACAGAGCACATATAAAAGAAGCTTAACTCATACCTAAAAATAGATTCCAAAGAGGGGAATGGTGAGAAGTAAGGCTGGAGAGGCCAACAGGGGCCACATCACGAGGGACTTTGGAACTGGTCCTGACAGACTGACTCTATATGAAAGGCAGTGGAAGGTCATGCCCTATGAAAGGAACTGTGTTTTAGCAAGAGCACTCCGGGTGCTGTTTTGTATTTGGAAGTAAGAGATATTCTGCCAGAGTTCAGTAGGTGTTCTGTGCAAACTAATCCGTCTACAGTTGTGACTTTTGGTGTCTTCGTGGGAGAGGGTGAGCTGATGTCCTGCTCCACCACCATCTTGGATTCTCCCCCCCGCGTGCTATTTTAAGAATGAATTGAAAGGAGGTAAAACTCTGAGCAGGGAGCTTTTGCAGTGATCCAGACAGCAGGTGGCGGAGACTTGGAGCAGCGTGGTAGCTGTCGGCAAACAGAGAAGCGGAGGAATTTGAAGTAGGAGTTACAACTGACAAGCTGTAACTGATGGCTGGATGGGGCCGGGAGAGGGGGAGGGAGGCATTCAGGACGATGCCCAACTTTCTGGCTGAGGAAACTGCAGAAGAAGGTGGGTTTGTTTGGGCATGTTGGCTTTCATAGATAGTATTTGAAGTTCTAGGACTGGTTGATTGTCCAGAAAGGATATGTTGAGTGAGAAGAGAGAGGGGGCGAGACCAGAGTCCCAAGCGAGGAGCACCGCTTTCAAAGAAAAGGAGGTGGGATGACAGAGGGACCCAAGGGAGGGGGCAGAGTGGAGGGACAGCAGGACGCTGTGGGCTTGTGGGAGCCCCAGGAAGACAGCATGTCAAGAAGAGAGTGGCCAACAGGCCAAAAGAGAACTGGGTTTTCATTGAGCTAGTGTCGCCACGTTGCAGGGGGTTGACTGTTATCATTGCTTGTCACTGTCTGTCTTCATTTCTTGGGTTCAGGGACTGTGGTTGTTTTTTGCTATTGTTTTTTTGTCTCTGTTCACATTGGCACATAAGATAATGGTATTAATAATAACAACAACAATAATAATAAATGGATGAAAGGATGAATTGATGATTCGAGGAGTGAATGAAGCCAATTCTCCTTCCCAGAGTAACTTCCTCCATGTTCCTTTGCCCGATCCTAGCTTCCTGGTGGGTCAGGATGGCGGTGTGTATGAAGGAGTTGGCTGGCATATCCAAGGCTCTCACACTTACGGCTACAATGATATTGGCCTAGGAATTGCCTTCATAGGCAACTTCGTAGGTAAGAGGTGAACGTGGGGCAGAGAGACTCTGGGTGGTGAAGTATTCTGTGAAACTTCTGGGCAGCAGCGGGGACAAGATGCACTGTGGTGCCTGACAGTGTCGGTGGGACTCGATACAGGTGGCAGGTCACCCCCCAGGAGTCCCTCTCAGGCAGAACAGTTTCCCCAAATCCACCCATACCCATTCCAGCCCCATCTCTCCTTATAACCATACCCAAGGCAAGCGTAGAGCAAGAGAGAAAAAAATCTTCTGTCAACTTTGGTGCTTTTATGGCTCTGTTGGCAAATGTAGCTTCTTCCTCGGTAACCATGGCAACAGGGTTGGGGAGCACCTTCTGTTGCTGCTGAGAAGAGGTGGGTTGAGCTGCAGTTTTCTTCCAGAGCGGTTTTGAACTTTTTGGAAGAAGCACTGCAAGGAGGAATCGGGGAACACAACGACCTTGTTTTCCCTCTGTGCCTGGCTGCCGAAATTTATGTGAATTTGTTGGTTTTGGTGGTGGTGGTGGTGGTGGGGACAGAAGGAGTCTGGATAGCAGTCTTTTTCTATCCCAAAGCAAGTAACCTTGAGACCCTAATGACTGATGGGCTAAATCTGTTTTGCAGAAAAGCCCCCGAATGCCGCCGCCC